ACAACTCAATTTATTTCCAATTTTTCCAACAAGATGGTCATAGAAGAATTGAGAAGAGCGTCGGGGAAAGCTCACAAAATGCACCGCAAGAGAAAGAAATGAGGGAGGAGATTTCAGTTCTAGGATTTTTGTGATGGAAAATGATATTTGTACATGTACGCGATAAAGTCGACATTGTACGAAGTGTAAAAATTTGTGTCGTTAATTATTTTGGATTTTGCTATATTTACATCAACATAATGTCTATTTTACTACTTGACTATTAGAATAATTCAATTATTTTAAGCATTGTTGAAATTCTATTTAAAAAATTGTGTCACCTCACACAATGTAAAAAAATATCAAATTTAATGTCACTAGTGGGACCTCTTTAGTCATTTACAATATGACGTCATTTTCGAGCTAAAAAAATCAAAACGTCATTTTGACTAAAAATATGAATAAAAATCCCATCATAAGCGTCTTATATATTACAGCGATAATTGATAATTATTTTTTTGGAAAAATTGTACCAACGGTACAAAACCTTTCATTTGTGCCACCCATAGTGCCAAACATTTCAAAATATAGCAACCGGAGTCCAAATGGATGGACCTAACCCGAATAGTAAAAATTGACCAAATCTAATAAGAGTAAAATAGTAAGTTTACAATTTTAATATAAAATAATTATAATACCCAGAATCTGACCAAAATGGATCCCAACATTCCCCATTTTCACACCCGAATTTGGAGGAAGAGGAGGAGGAAGAAGCTAAAACAACTACCGGACTTGTCCAAACCCGAGCTCCTAGAGAATGAAATTGTCGAAACACCCTTGGCCATGGAGGGAACTACACCCCCCAGCCAAAATGGAAAAGCCACATGTGCGAAAACAAGCAAGAAGTTGAAGAAGAAGAAGAGCAAGGATGTGTGGACGATGACTACAAGGGGAAGAAAAAGGCAAAAAATACCTCCAACAGGAACCACAATTCTAAAAATGCCATATGTACCAACACGTTTAGATTTGGATTTGGATTTGGACTTGGATTTGGATTTAGATCTGGATCGGGGATGGGGGTGGGCGGGTGGGGGATATGAGGAAGAAGAAGGAGAGTTTTTTTTTTTTTCTCTTTTTTTTTTTTCTAATTTTTATAATTATTTTATATTAAAATTGTAAACCTACTATTTGGCCCTTATTAGATTTGGTCAATTTTTACTATTCCGGTCAACTAACGATTGGACTCTGATTACTACATTTTGGAAGGTTTGATACCGTGAACGGCACGAATAAAAGGTTTGGACAAAGCTTGCTACTTAATGAAAGGTTTGGTATCGTGACTATAATTTTCCCTTATTTTTTTATCCAAATTACAATGCATGCATTCAATAGACGTCAATAATATTATAAGAGCATCATTAACGTTGATGCTCAATACTTCGAATTAAGCTTTGTTATATAAGATGAATTTGACATCTTTGTTGACAAAAGATGGCGTGTAAAAAAATAACTGGATGATATTGTTGACTATTTTTTAAACCGTCCAATAAAATTCTGCCACGTGACATTTCTATCATCTAAGATGTTAGTATAGCATGATTACAAACGACGTGATACATTGTCTTGCAAATAAATATGCATTCCAACTCATCAATTTCTGTGGTATGATGATTATCAGAAGACTTAGGGGGTGTTTGTTTTTTTATTTGAGAAATCTCATTTTTAACCACACATTTTTCAATAAAATAATATTTTTCATCACATCAATAATTTTTTCTTCTTTTTCAACCACACATTTCCCATCATATCACTATTCAAAAATCAATTATTCCCCCAAAAATCTGTACCAAACAAGCATTTATTGTATTATTACTAGGCAGTAAAGGGATCAGTTAGAGGCTTGCCCAGTCGATTGATGTCTAGAAATCAGGCAAATCACTTCAAACTTGTGAAAAGAATGAATTGACATGAAACATCATCCATTTATAGGACATTTCTCTTTCTTCAGAAAGCATTTAGTGTTCTAATTAAGCTTCGCTACCAATTAGAAGAATATGTTTGAGAGATCCTGATCAATTCTGTGTGCCCAAACACCCACCAAATTCTAAAATAAAACGCACGACCACTATTGAAAAATGAGGAGCGGGTAGCTAAAAACTTCCTTCCGAGACAAGGAATGTTTTTGGGCGTGGCCTTATAAGAGTTGGAGTGCTTACAGGTGATCAAGATTTGCGTAGTATCAAAATATGCAATCTGTCACATCATACAAGAAGGTCATGTACTCATGTCTCTTTAGTTAGTCAGTCAATAAAATTTTCTCGACCAAGGGTATGTTTGGTAAAAATTCTCATTTTCAACAGTAAATCAATTCTCATTTTCAACCACACATTCTTC